GGATATGAATAGTGAATTGATCAGATTCACATTTGTTACCCTCGCATGTGCAAAAAAATGTCAAGTGATAAGACCCTTTTTTAAATTTTATTCTTCTCCTTTTAGACCTAAAAGTTATTATTTATTTTGCATTCCCTCGAGAAAATTCGATTACCATGTCTCGTATCCAAGGAACAAAACTTCATGCTCTAGTATCCTGATGATGACACCTAAACGCTCGTGGTCTACCTCGAAATCAGATTCCTTTTTTAGCATCTTATAATTTATTGCATATGGAAAAACATTTCCCTCTGCAATCATGTTGTGTGTGTTTCTTGCAGAAACCATGACCAATCTCAGACTCCCAACAAGCGTCCGAGATGAGCCTTGACATAAGCCAAGAAGGGATATTTTCCACTCTAAAACTGCTGAATGTTCAAAGAATTTGCCTTTCCTTTCTCCGAACAATCTCAGACTCCCAACAAGCGTCCAAGACGAGCCTTGACATAAGCCGAAAAGGGATATTTTCCACTCTAAAACTGCTGAATGTTCATAGAATTTTCCTTCCTTCAAATAGAGACCATCTTATTACAAGGATACAAAGATGTCACGTATTTCAAATATTTCCCGGGAGAAAAAGCTATAAAAGAATAAATTTCGCTAATTAAAACTGTGGATCTCAGAAATCCCTCCAAAGCAAAATTCACACAGCAGGAGGTACAAGTTATAGAGTAGAAGCAAATTACACTAAGAAAAAAGAGAGAAGCAGGTAATATATTTAACTGGATGTTAAAGAGTTCTTCACTATACATCCCAACCGTCCTTCCGCCTGCTAAAATCGGACTTCCGATGAGCCAAACTCCCATAAAAATCTGAAAACTTCCTCAGACAATTGCTTCTGACCCTGTAATGTGCTTGTGTGTTTCTGCTAATTGCGACAGCAGAGATTTTTGATGTATCGATTGCCCATGCAGGTTTCACGTACTCAACTACTGGCGAAGAACTTGCATTTGCATTCAAGTAGTTCATTAGCACATCCTCGCAATTAAAATAACTGTCGACCAATGCCCTGCCTACCTCAGCTTCCTTGCTCCAATACCTCTTGAAAGCCAACTGACTGTCTATGAAAGCAGCCCCCGTCAATATCATGTTATAACCATCGTGTTTACGAGCATGTTTTTCTCCTCGGTACTTCAAAGGGCTGCCATTTATGAGCCGAGGATAAAACCCAACAATTCGATCTGGATGCTCGCGCCACACCCTGAAGCCCCGTTCAATATCATCGCAAGTCATCATAATATCATCATCAAGCTCCAGGACTGCTCGTGTTTTTATAGATGAATCAATCTTAAATCGATTGTTTAGTGAGTTCTGTTTCTCGACTCTTATCCTTACTGGCACTGCGGAGTCAAAGTCACTTGATTTTGGAGGTATTCCTTTGTTCCACACAATAACTATCTCGTGCACCGAGGAACACCTCGAATAATGCTTCACATACATTTTCAAGTTCCAAAGCCGAGCATCATATGTCATTGTTAATAAAGTGAACTTCGAATAGTGACCATTGAACAGGTAAGGTTCTTGTGCGCCACTACCACCATATATATATGCAACACCATCACACATTAACACAACAGCCACCAAAATTGTTAAAGCAAGGACGAAAATTCTAGTGCACGTGTTTGGTCTTATTCTGGCACGGAGAATCGAGCTCATTTTGTTCAACCGACTGCAAAGAAGTCTAAGCTTGGAAGACAACAAATTCGACCTCTCCCAAGCCAAGAAAACACCGCTTCTCTTTCCCATGTCATGCAGGCACCAGCTCAAGGGTACTATGCACCTCACAGCCCCAACTATCATGCCCACAAATACGACGAGCCCAGCAACAGCTAAAACTGACACAAACCCAAGAATAAAGCGACGATTTGCATCTCCAGACAGTACTCTGTCCCCATCCCAAACTGCAATCCATTCACCGGAACTTAACTGCTGTACATCAAGGTGGTGGTTGCGGGCCCCATTCCAAGCATTCCGTCCCTTACTCGATTCTTCGATACCCAAGGGAACTTCAACTTCTTTGAACTCCTCAGTGGTAAGAACTTCCACTCTGAAGACACGTATCCGCCGCCCATAAGTCTCACCGCAGTCTTGACCAATGCGGTAAAGATTTCCATTATATACAAATGGCCTGCCTCCATTCCGAGCTCCCATGCTCTCGTCTGTGTTAAATATAGGGTTCTTCTTATGTGGTTTCCAGGGACCACGAGGCGAGCTACTATACCAGATCTCCAGCTGTCCATTACTTTGGGTGCTTATACCACTGTGATCTGAACCAAAGAGCCAGAATTTCCCCTCACGAGGAATAATAAAAGAATCGACCAGAGGCTTTTTCATTATTATCTTATCGAGAGTCCATTTCAAAGGAAACTCGATGGCTCGATAGAGACGAAGTTCCCCTTTCCAACTGCCTTCAGGCATCATATATATCTGCAGAAAACCAAAATTTATGAAAACAAGAAGGTTAGTGTTTCAATCAAGAAATTAAATGATTGGGAATACATTGCAATCTTGGACTGCGTAAGCTGGCCATTATGACTCAAAATTGTAATAAATGCAATGTATAGCCACTATAGAATATTTCCAGATCCTGGAAATTTGGGTTTTATTTGTAACTTTAGTATTCAATGGAATCGAGATCTTACACTGCCATCGTAGTCAAAGACATATGGATAAGAGACATGCCAGTCCTCATTGAGGGCGATACCCAAGTGCTGCCACGTTGCTCCCTTATCAATACTTCGAGAAACTCCAATTTCACCTTGCATTTTAATTGAATTCTTCGTTTCATAGAAAAGGTAAAGGATATCTCCCTGAATCACATTGTCAAATATCAAATATAAGTTATTTTCTAAGTTAAAGAGATGCCCAGATGTGATGCCAAGAGGCTAGTAGTTTTAAAATAAGTAAGAGCAAACAATTTCAGTTTACACGAAATCATGACACATATATATAGAGAACATGGAGGCAAGCATACTACACCGGAATCAAGTTCAAGAAATTACAGACAAGATGTCTAAGGTCATATGTGAACATTCCCCAATAAACATTGTTTCATCTCCTCGTTCTCATGAACTAATCATGACTTTGATGAGCAACAGCTAAAAACCAATACTCGTAACAAACATTAAGAAACCTAGACCTTCTAAAGTGAGCAGGATGAGACCGATAACTACATTTAGTTCATATTTTTACTTAATGTTACTTCATTAAGTTCTCATACAAATAACTGATGGCCATAATAGGAAATGACATTCCACCTTCAGCCACTAACATGTAATCTAAATATAAACAAGGATGCCTAACTTTTTTCTGTCACGAGGCTTCTCTTTGGGAATCTCTTGACTTCACTTAACAAAAACGTTCCATTCAAACAATCACAGATTGTTATGCGTATGAGCTCATGGCCAACAATGTTCCATTTCAATAACCATCCTCATCAAAGCACATTTCTTGTTAACATGGTCCTTCTAAACAATTTTTATTTTTATTATTATTTATTTTTATTTTTAGCATTAACAATCAAATTGAAACCACGACCATTTTCCTGATAAGAAACAGCTCCTTCCTAACCACCTAACCAGGTTTGGGAACCTGTTGGGCACAAAGTAGCCCACAAATCCACATATAGTGAAATCTTCAGCCCGTACCTAATCTCTCTCTCTCTCTCTCTCTCTCTC